ACTTTCCCATGTGAACCAGCCAGGTGCCCAGCATTCACTTTTTTTTTTTTTTTTTTAAAGTGCGTAAAGATTTCTGGGTTTCTGTTATCACAAACTTGTTGCAGCTAGAAGGATTCCTTACATTGCTTCTGTGTGCCTGGCTTAGTGGGAGGTGTTAGGTCTTTTAGGAGCTTATTTCTAGTCATGGAAATGACACTGAATTAATCAGGGCTTCAGTATCTTCCTTTCTAAAAGACAGGATTGGGTGGGCATGGTAGTTCGTGAGCAGGAGTGCAGCTCACGGTCACCGGGGGATCCCCTGGCACAGGTGCCCAGCCTTACCGGAGACTGCTTCTGCAGGTTTAGAATGAGGCCTCAGCACAAATCAGGGTTTCTCCCTCCACCCTCCCTCTCTGCCCCATCTATCTCTCTGCATGTGGGTGTTGAACAACTCCCCCTGGGCCTTTAGGCATGCTCTCTGATTGAGAGGCTCATAACATTAGTTAACACTCCAGCCAAACTTGGCTCCCAGCTGGTTCCCAGACACATGGGGTGATTTCTTACTTCCATGTGTTCGCATACATTTCTTGTTTTCTTATTATTTTTTATAGTTTTTATTTATTTTGAGAGAGACAGAGAGTGCATGTGGAGGAGTGGCAGAGAGAGAGAGAAAGAGTCTCAGGCAGGCTTGGTGCTGCTGCCACAGAGCCCAACATGAGGCTTGAACTCACAAAACCGTGAGGTCATAACCTGAGTTGAAATCAAGAGTGGGATGCTTAATCTCCTGAGCCACCCAGGCACCCCCATCTGTCTGCTGTCTGGATTTCTTAAGGAGGACCACAGCTAGTTGAGAATCACTGGCTTCTGAAGGGTTCTCCATCAGTGCTGCACGAGGGTTGCCCAGGGAGATTTTGAATGGCTGCTTTTCCAGGAACCATCATAGATCTCCAGAGAAGAAGAAGAAAGGAAAAAAAGACTTTGTTAACTACTTTGCTCGAACTCAGATGCGTACACTGGAGTTACGTGACCAGAGCTCACTGTGTATAGCTGTCTCCTGCTGTCCTCGCAAGGATAAGCCGAGGTTTCTGTGCAGGATGTGGAGCAGTCCGCTTCTGCTGGGGCCAGGACTGTCTCCTGTTAGTGCCTGTGAACTGTTAAGCAGCAGTCTGTTTCTAGAGTGTGCCACACTCCTGCCTGGCATGGGCATCAAGCTCGCTGGGCTACAGTCTGGGCAGTGGGCTTTTCCTGTTTTGAAGAGCTGGGCAGCACACCCAGGCTCTTTCAGTTTCCCTCAATACACTGAGATCCACCTCTGGGCTCAGAAATGGACCTCATTTTGAGAAGCATTGCTGTCTTTCTCCCTTATCACTTGCTCTGGCTGGGAAGCCTGCTCTGACCTACTGGGAGAAGGAATGAGCTCACTGGCTGGTTTTGCTTTCCCTCGCACTCTTCTCTTGGTTTGTCAGTACTGGCGCCATCAGCCTGGAGCAGCTGACCCAGGACAGCTTCTTGCTCCTAGCAGAACTGAAACAAACTTTTGTGGCCTTGTTTTGTAAGCTCCTGTCGTTCTTGGCTTTGGTCTTCCTGACTCTTTTCTAGAGCTGGGCCACTCACAGTTTTCCTTTGTAAGGTCCCTTTTTCCCCCATTGTTTATAATAATATCCTTTTGAATTTGAACTTAAAAATTTTTTTAAGTTTATTTATTAGAGAGAGTGCGAGCACTCGGGGGAGGGGCAGCGAAGGCAGGGAGAGAGAATCCCAAGCAGGCTCTGGCACTGTCAGCATGGACCCTGACCCAGGGCTCAAACTCACAAACTTCAAGATCATGACCGAAGTCCAGATCAAAACCGACTGAGCCACTCAGGCACCCCATGCATTTGAACTTGGAATTTACATTGATTTCTTTAAATTCCTTCTCCAGTTCTTCCACCTCAGGATTATTTATTCTCAGTTATATGGGTGCACTTTTGCTTGAGGGTTTATTAAGCCTCTTGAACTATCTTGCGTTTTCCAATCTCAGACCTTCAGATGAGCCTGTCTTTTCTTTGAATGACTGGAATCTATCATCTTCAAGTTGTTCCCCTTGGTAGAGGTGTGATTGGCATTTTGGGCAGAGCAGTTCTTATCTGGAAGACCTGCTTGTGCATTGCAGGACTTTTAGCGTCCTGGCCACCAATGATGCCAGTGGTTCTCAGCAGCTGGGGTTCTAGAGGATGTTGGGAAATAGGGTGGGGTGGTGTCACAATGCTTGGCATGTAATGGGCAGGGCTCGAGATGGTCAAGTGTAGAGTCCTGCCTGGATGCCTACGCTGCCCAGCATTCCCTGGAGATTACAGGGCTTGCTTGCTTGTTTGTTTGTCTTGGTTTGTCTCACTTCTGCCTTATAATCAGTTCTTCCTTGTTGGTTAGAATTGTGCAAAGGAGGTTGCCTCTTCTGCTCTTCGGTGAGCTTAACTTGACAGCAAGTTGAGAGTTTATCTGATAACTAGTAACTGATAAACCAAGCTTTGGATTTCTATGAGCCTCCCAGCTCAGCGCGACATTAGCCATTAGTGTCGCCCATTCTTCTCTGGCAGGGGGTGGGAGGGATGGCGTCTTCCACCACAGTTTTTGTTTCATGTATCTCTTGAAATTAGAGCATTAGTATGTGCCCTTTCTGCACCCCTGCCCATAGTATCCACTCTTTGCTCCCCTTTTTCTTGAGCAAGATGCAAGTTTTCACTGTCATATTACAGTTGAGCCTCATCTTGCTGTATTTTTGTAATTCTTTTGAAATTTATCTTGTGTTTATTACTGATACTGCCTATTATTAGTAAGTGGATTTCTCAAGCCATAGAGTATATTTACAGATTATTTTAAAATTAATATTCTCCTATGAAAATTGAATATAATCTCATTTGTTGACCAATTTCAAAGTTCCATCTGAAATTGTTTTCCTACTTGTATGTGGTTTAAAACATTTCTGATAGCTTGGTAGGATTCAGCTCTTAAGTGACATACGATATCTTCTGTCTTTAGCCAGGAATCTTAACTTCAGTTGTACCAGAGATCACAAAATCAAAATATATGGAGAGCGTTTCCCATCCCAGAGCCTTTTCTTTTCTTCCCCAAGCCCCAGCTTCCCATCCCTGCACTGTCCTGAAAATTAAGCAAGTGAGCATGACCATGAGCTCCCGAGGCGGGGAGTGGGGCAGAGTGATAGAGTAAGATTTATTTATTCCCCATCCTGAAGGCTTCATTGTCCCCAGGGAAGCATTTCTGATGAGTCCTGGGCATTAGAAGGAGGACCAGATGGCAGTTGGCAGGTGAGTGGTCTCTCAGGTTCCATGCTGTCCTTCCTGCAGGCTCAGGAAGACAAGCCAGACCACACTTTCCCCACTGCAGTGGCCACAACTATTGCAACCAGCTTCCTTATGGGAAGCTGACCATGGCTTAGAAGTGGAGCTCATCTCCCGGTGGCGGTGGCTCTCCTCTCACTATGTGGTTTGTTAAAAATCCCCATTTCAGACTCCACCCCACAGTTGCTGGACCAGAATTTCCAGGGCTGGGGCCTAAGCCCAGATGGTTGTGGTGGGCAGCTAGGGTTGACAAGCAGCAGCACCCTGTAGAAGAAGCGTGGTCGGGTGTGTCGCCTGCCATGAAGCACCAGCACATCCCGACTGCCTGTTCTGTGCCTTCATTTGACACACTGTCCTTCTCCGCCTATTCCATGCCAGGCACACCATACATCCTCCAACTTAGAACCTGTAACACGGGCTCACTTCCTACTTTCTTTGGAATTGTTTTCCCATGGAGCCTTGTAAACTTGCCTATGTGATGGGAATGTGGGGTGCAGAGGATCTTTTGGGCTTATTCAGAGCCTCCGGTGCCAGCGTGAGCCACAGCACCACACATGGAGGGGGTTCTCAGTTCCAAAGGGATGCGTGGACTGGACCAACAAGGGAGGAAGCCAGGGGCTGTGAGGAAGCTGTTCTGCCTGCTCAGCAGAAGAGGCTGAACTCAGCTAGGTGGTGCTCTGGGGATGCCGAAAAGCGATGTGGAGGAGGATTTTGTACCAAGGACAAGAGGCCAGGTTGAGACATTGGAGGGATTGTGTCACTCCAGGTACCTGAGAATGAAGAATATTGGGAACATGGGCAAGCCGGAGCAGTGGGTGGCTTGGGTCAAAATGCCTGTTGACGTTGACTGAGTTGTCAGAGAAGCAGTGGTGCACAGTTGAGAAAACGAGGAGCAGACAATTGTAGACTGAAGACTTCTTAGGCAGGGCCCTGAAGTAGTCATGGTGGTTGTGCTTTCTGGACCAAATGGCATTTGCAGCATGGACTGTTTGTATAATCATAATCCCTCATTTGCAAAGGGTTCTGTTGCATACAATGTGGTTTCCCCTTTGTTGTGTTCAATTCTGGGTCTTGCTGCTTCTGTTTTGAAGCCGAGGAAGTGAAGGCTCGGTGAAAGGCACATGTCCCCCTCCCCACCCCAGACTGGATAGTTGATCTCTTCTCTGTGTGTCCATGCTGAGGCAGAGTTCTGAAATTACAGCTACGGCACTGGCTAGAAAACCTGGTAGGTATGTGTTTGGTCCTAGTCCCCAGTTTCGTTTATCTTTATATCCTCAGCACCTGACTCATAGCTTAATAAATCTTGGTTGGAAGAAATCAGGTCTGTAACACCTTTCTTGTGCCCCTGTCATGTGGCTGCCCCTTGCAGGGGTCTGAGGGTGTTCAAACAAAGATCTGGTGACCAGCCCAAAGAGGAGGCAGTATGTCTGCAGAAGAGTTATTTGTCCCACCGAGTTCCATGGGGTCACCAAGGTGGGGGTTTGTCTTGGTCTGGGGCAAGGGTTGAGGGGACCACTGTGGCTCTGGGCCTCTTAACCAGACCGGGCGCAGTCTAAGTCCGCACTTTGAAATTTTGTCATCGGTGGTGTTGGCACTCGGTTTAATTTGAGGGAGTCAGGAGGGATCTTTAATGTGTGGTGCTTTCCCCTTTTTGACACCCCTTTATGCTTTGTTAATCAACAGGAGCTTGAAGAAATCCGCAAATGTGGAATGAAAAACTTCCGTAACATCCAGGTTGATGAAGCTAATTTATTGACTTGGCAAGGGCTTATTGTTCCTGTGAGTATTGAACACTTCCACTTCTTATCAGATTATTCTTCAAGGTGATGTGTGTGCCGGGCTTACCTCTCTGCTCCCAAGTAGGCTCTTAGGTGAGGCAGCCAATAGACGCATAGAGGCGGGCTGTCACTTGAGGGTACAATAAGGAAGGGACCTTAACTTCGGGTTCCTGAGTAGAATCCTGTCTTTGCACTGGTTTTGTAACATTCCGGGGGGCCTGAGCTTTCTACTTCTTTGGTTATAGGCCTGGGAAAGGAGTGTGTGTTTGTGCTCCTGTCTTCCCTGCCTTCTCTCTGTCTGGTCCCATTTGTTCAGACGGGGCTGCCTTCTCCGACCTCTCTTAGGAGATGGTGGCCATTCCCATCTACATCTTTTCTTTGCTTCTCCACCTGGTTTTGCATCTGGTATCTAACCCTCTGGACACTTGCGTTCCGGGCTTTATTCCTGGTCCCCTCCGATATGTGCCTGCCATTGATCTCAAATCCCTTTGCCTAATGGCCCACCTGGTTCCCTCAGTGTCTTGTCTGGGCCTTCTGATTCCACTGTGAACCCCACAGCTCATGCTCCCCCTGCCTTATGGACTTCTGCCTACAGATGGGCTTGGGCTTGCTCCTGGCAACGGCCTTCCCGTGGCCTTACTGTCCTCTCAGTAAAGTGTCTGCTCTTTCTCCATCCTCTCATCTCCTCGCCCCCCCCAAGAGTATCCTCCTGTACTAACTCCAATTTGCAATTCCAGTTTCTCCTGCCCTCCTGGAACCACCTCACACTGAGCACATGGGCTCCCCTCTGTCCATATGCCTCGGGCTCGGCAGCCCTGGAGCCCACTTGCCTCCTGGGCCTTTGGAGCCCGTGTGGTGTCCCAGCCCCTGGTTCTGTGGCCTTGCGGCACTCACACCTGTCTTCTGCTGCTTCCTCTGCACTCTTAGACAGGGACCTTATTAATTACTTAGTCTCTAGCCTTTCTCTCATGCTGTTTCTTGGGGCCCCTGCTTCTTCCAGCATCATAGCTTACTAGGTTATTGCTGTACGTGAAGGAGTCCTGTCTTTGCTTCTCTTCCTGTCCCCTCTCCAGAGACACAACATCTGTCTGTGAGGTAGCCTACTTGGACACTGTGTGCTTTCTAGTCTCCCTGGCTCCCAACTGGGACTTCTCCATGAGTGGCCCCTTCCTGTTCTTCCACCTCCACTGCCTCCTCTTTCCATCCCCACTTTCCCTGTGAGCCTCAGGCCCTTCTTCTGTGTCTGTCCCTGCCCTACCCTGTTGTACAGAATCTTTCCTTATGGGCGGAGTGACTACTTTGCCAAAGCAGTACATGGAACATGCTTACTGCAGATACTTTCTTTTTTTTTTTAAATGTTTTTATTTATTTCTAGGAGAGAGAGAGAGACAACGTGAGCAGGGGAGGGTCAGAGAGAGAGGGAGTGACAGACTGAAGCAGGCTCCAGGCTCTGTGCTGGCTGTCAGCACAGAGCCCGATGCGGGGCTTGAACCCACGAACCGCGAGATCATGACCTAAGCGAAAGTCGGACGCTTAACCGACTAAGCCACCCAGGCACCCCGTTGCAGATACTTCTTAATGCTGGTTATGGGTCATGGCTTTTTAAAAATCCTTGCAGTTTGAGCAGTAGATAATTGGATTCCTGCTTTATTTTCGTAATCACTTGGATAACTAAGAAAAAATATGCTTTTGTAGCATTTCAGTACACACTCAAAAATTTTAAACCTGGGAGCATCCAGTCTGGCTTTGAGGATGAGTCCTTTAGATTTCTCCAGGCTTGGTGATGGTGGGGCTCAGGGCACAGTATGTAGATGGTGGAGGAGCCTCTGGCTGGGAAAGTTCAGCCAGTGACCTCAGGCCTTGCCTGCTGTAGAGAACTCTTAGGTGCTAAGTGGAAGGATGGCCAGGACCATCTGACTAGTCTCTTTTCTTTCATTAAAAAAACATTTTTTTTTTAATGTTTATTTTTGAGAGAGAGAGGGACAGAGTGCAAGCAGGGGAGAGACAAAGAGAGGGAGACACAGCACAGAGCCTGACGTGCGACTCGAACCCACAAACTGCGAGATCATGACCTGAGCTGAAGTCGGACGCTTAACTAATTGAGTCACCCAGCTGCCCTTGACCTGTCCCTTTTCTTTCTTTTTAAAAAAGTTTTTAAACATTTTATTTTTTTTGAGAGACAGAACACAAGCAGGGGAGGGGCAGAGAAAGGGAGACACAGAATCTGGAGCAAGCTCCAGACTCTGAGCTGCCAGCACAGGGCGTGATGTGGGGCTTGAACCCACAAACTGCGAGATCATGACCTGAGCTGAAGTCGGACGCTTAACTAATTGAGTCACCCAGCTGCCCTTGACCTGTCCCTTTTCTTTCTTTTTAAAAAAGTTTTTAAACATTTTATTTTTTTTGAGAGACAGAACACAAGCAGGGGAGGGGCAGAGAAAGGGAGACACAGAATCTGGAGCAAGCTCCAGACTCTGAGCTGCCAGCACAGGGCGTGATGTGGGGCTTGAACCCACAAACTGCGAGATCATGACCTGAGCTGAAGTCAGACGCTTAACTAATTGAGCCACCCAGGTGCCCCCCGACCTCTCACTTTTCTAATTGAGATTTTTTATCCTACTGTTAGAAGAAGTAAAGAGTTAGTCCATGGATCTTTTGAAAGAATGATAAGAATGAATGGGATGGTTTTGAGCAGTCAGACTTGGGCAGTCTACCCTGAGATCTCAGTGGCCTCAGAGACACAGCCCAGCCTCAAGGGTAGGTAGGTGGCTGTCATCAGGGTCTGACCAGAGTATGCCCCGAGGCCTCCCTCTGGTGTCTTGTTGGTGGAGCCTGTGGAACTAGCTATGATCTCATAAGTCCCAAGGTGGAGACTGGCTGGTAGAATGTAGCCTGCTTGGGTCCAGACTCTGGGGAGTGTCTAGGCTCAAACTTTGCCTTCCATTTAGGGGAAGCTGGTGCCAGAGACCATAGGTCATGTCTACATTCCATTACCTCTTCCCACCACTCTCTGTGTCCTTATTTCAGTTACTGCCCAGGGCTCCTCGCTTGGTGTGAGGAGTATTTCAAGGAAGCAGTTAGGATGCTCTTGGCAACTGACCCCTCCATGGTCCTCAGTCTTACCCTACACCTGGGCCTCAGGTAGTTCTGCACCACGGCGGCTGGGTCAGCATGGGGAATCTTCTACCTAGACTCACCTGGGCCAGCTGGGGTGAAAGCAGAGTCAGGCTAATAAAGACATAGTAGTCCAGAAGCATGCTTTGACCACAGGGTCCTGGTCTTCAGGGAGCCACTTAGTAAATAGGCCCTAGCTGTAGCTCAGAGAAGGGACAGACCAGGATCCCCCAGAGAGGGAAGGTGGGAGTGAACTGGGTTTGGTGCTACCTCAAGACACTTCATTGTTGCCATGGCACTTCAGGCTTATTCCCCTTAAATGCTTATTTTTATGTAATTTTTTTTCATTTGAAATTCAGAGGTAATATCTAAGGAAGAAAAAAAATCCCATAAGCCTATCCTGAAGAAATTCAGTAAGATTTTGGGTACCTGCCCTTTAGGAACTGGAGGCATGGTGGTAGCCTTCTTGAATTTCTCACCCAATGAACATGATCACTCTTAACCATTAGCAACTCCTTGCAGCCTTTTTACATGCAAGTTTTAATGAACCATTTGATAATTTCATAATTATCACAAACTTTCATCATTTAGTCATGGCCTTGAAACTCTGTGAACGTAATTTTTGATAACTGTACAATATCCCATAATGTATTTATTCAATTGTTCCTTTAATTTTTGCCATTTGTATTGTTTTTCCAGTTTTAAAATAATTTATCCTTGAAAGGGGTGTCTGGCTGGTTCAGTCCGTGGAGCGTGTAACTCTTATCTCAGAGTTGTGAGATTGAGCCCCACATTGGGTGTAGAGATTACTTAAAAAAGTTAATGAATTAAAAAAATGTTTTTTTAAGTGAAATAATTTGTCCAAGAACATTTTTATGTGAAAATCTTAGTGTGTATCTTTGTTTATTTTATTTTTTAATTTTTATTTATTTAAAAAAATTTTAATGTTCATTTATTTTTGAGAGACAGAGAGAGACAGAACATGAACAGGGGAGGAGCAGAGAGAGGGAGACCTAAAATCCAAAGCAGGCTCCAGGCTCTGAGCTGTCAGCACAGAGCCCAATGAGGGGCTTGAAGTCAGGAACTGTGAGATCATGACCTGAGCTGAAGTCAGACGCTTAACCAGCTAAGCCACCCAGATGCCCGTTTATTTTAGATTTGATCTTAAAAATACAGGGGCGCCTGGGTGGCTTAGTCGGTTAAGCGTCCGACTTTCGCTTAAGTCATGATCTCGCAGTTCGTGGGTTCGAGCCCCGCGTCGGGCTCTGTGCTGACTGCCAGCTCAGAGCCTGGAGCCTGTTTCAGCCTGTGACTCCCTCTCTCTCTGACCCTCCCCTGCTCACGCTGTCTCTCTCTCTCTCTCCTAAAAATAAATAAAACATTAAAAAAAATTTTTTAAAGTGGGTTCTAATGGCAGTACTTCAGCACCAGGCTGTGGGGTCTGATTGCCCCAGGTGAGAATCCCAGCCCTGCCCTGACCAGTTTGGGGATCTTTAGCAAGTTAATCAGTTTGTCCCAGTACCCTCACATCTGAAAGGAGTACTTCATCTCACTGATTGTTGTAAAAGTTAAGTAAGTGCACGTGTGTGAAGTGATTAGTCTTATCCTTATTATTAAAGCCTTTGTGGGGCTGTCTGCAAAACTATTCGGCAGTTATGTAGTAAAGAGCGTGTGAAACAAGCATATAGAAAGAAATCATTGTTGCCAGTTTGATAGGTGCAAAAGTACTCAATTGGATTTGTGTCTTAGTCCCATTCAGGCTGTTATGTGACAAAATACCAGGTACCAGGTACTGGTTAGTTTATAACAACAGACAACAAAATTAAATATCTGGAAAAAAAATTGTTTTTGTGTATCTAGTTTATAACAACAGAAATTTCTCACAGT